ACCACACATCATCGTGCATCGCTGCAATCACAGTGTGTTGAACTGCACTTTATGCCTGTAATTAATGTCAATCATTACATATATATTCTGTGTTACTCTGTGTACAGTTCCACTTGATAGAGAAATCTTCAGGAGATGGTCACAGCAGTGTGTAGCAATGACTGACTTCAGAAGCAGGTTGATGTTTATTGCACTGGAACTGCCTCATCAACTGACAATTCCTGGGTGCTTGGGACAATGAAAGATTAATGAGGCTGTTTATGATGCAGTCAGTCGTAAGATGTTGAAATGTAGGACAGTGTTAATATTGTTGCTTTCACATTGCCTTCAGGAGACTGACAATTGCCTCATGTCTAGGACACTGAAACATCCTGTCTAGGACACTGACACATCCTGTCTAGGACACTGACACATCCTGTCTAGGAAACTGACACATCCTCTCTAGGACACTGACACATCATTTCTAGGACACTGACGCGTTATGTCTAGGACACTGACACATCCTGTCTAGGACACTGACACATATCTAGGACACTGACACGTCATGTCTAAGACACTGACACATTTCTAGGACACTGACATATCATGTCTAGGACACTGACACATCATTTCTAGGACACTGACACATTTCTAGGACACTGACATGTCATGTCTAGCACACTGACATATTTTTAGGACACTGACACGTCATGTTTAGGACACTGACGGTTTGATAGTGATAGGCTTTGTCTCATGACTTCCACCTGTTCTTCCTGGGATAGATGTGGTATTGCTCTTGTAGGTTCAATATGTGACATGAAAGAAGCTGGCCACTTCCACACTGTGTGTTTATTTGTCATATTAAGCGCTCTGCTCGAATAAGCACCTTCTGACCATCTTCTAGACCAATCTGTAAGTTATCTTTATAAGCACCCCTATAGAGACCGAAAATATGCATGACAGTCCATATTTTCTTGTGTGGCATCAACATTTGAAGTTTGTTCACTTCGGCTCGATCTCTCAAATCAGATTTAATTTGTGTATGGTTTTCATAAGCACACCCCCTTAGTAAATTTTCTAACATGTGGAGTTCTTATTACAGCTAATATGGTCATTAAAGGTATATCCTGAATCTCATGCCTTGTTTAAAATGCGTGTGGGAAGGGCACTGCTACCTACACCTGTTGTCATGGATAGGTAAAATATACAAGGCATATATAACACACAATAAAATCTGACTTTGGCAGCTGAGAAGCAGCTAATCTCCAACACACATGGTGGTGGTGGGATGTTTGTACCTCAAGTAGTCAGTGTGTGTAGTGATCATGTGGGATGTTACAGGTGGTAGACAAACTGGTTATGACGTAATGGAAGTATCACCTTTGAGGAGTTTCTTTCATTTTCTCATTTTGTTGCTATGAAATGATTTACTTTAATATTTTGATATAAATGCTTTTAATATATTAATGAATTCTCACATTAAACAGAAGAATATGTTCCATAATTGTATAGTACAGAGAAAAAAGATGAAAACACCCAAATTGAACGGTATTTTTGATCATCCATCTTGCATATATTATTGCTGTCATGTTGTATCCCTGTCGCACTGCTGAGGCTGTGTTGGTGGTGATTGATTTCCAACTGATTTATGTACAGTTGTGTGCATCTCACGGTGCCTGCAGTCACACTGGTGCCCAGTCTACATTAAGTCTTATTGTAAGGGACAGTTAAACAGCTTTCAAGGTATTTTGCTCATATTACCCCTGACTGAAATCACATTTTTCTATGTATGGTAACAAGTGCCACTTTTCGGGAATAAATATCAAAAGTTACTTTGTAGAGTCATTGTCGTAGTTGAACCTACATACAGATCACCCTGATTAGTCTTACAAAACTCTGATGGAATAAAAGTTGGTTCAACATCAGGGAGCATTCATGAAAACAGGATATATTGCGTAATCTCTAAAGTCTATGCAAGAAAGATCTTTCTTCTACAATAAACATTATTTGAAAATCTAACCAAATATTCATGTCCTGCTCAAATACTGTTAATGTGTACTTATGTCCTAGAACAGGTTGAATGAATTGCAGTAATAAGTCTGTTCCAATTGCTGATCTTGTTCAGATTTAGGAGTTCATGGAATCTTTGAAGTATGGAATCTTTGAAGTAAAGACCCAACACTGTGGAGATGTTACGCAGAGACGCTTTATCATGTCACAGTGTTGGCTGAAGAGCGCGTTTTTGCGTCTTGGACGCACAAAAATGAGTTTGAATGCACCTGCGTAACATGTGTGGGTCTCGTGGACGCAGTGATTTGGGCAATATTAATTTCATATCGAATTGACACTGTTATCGTAAATCAAAGACGTACGTCTTAGCGTAAAGGTATTTATTGCCAAACAAGACAGAGAAGCATGTTGATTAACACTTCCGTTTGCTAAACCAAACCAGTTTCATTATTCTCTCCCTTTTTATGACAAATACCCAAACCGGTTTCTTGTCCTATATCTATTTTCAGTTTTGCGTGTATTAATGTTCGGTATGGTCCGTAGCTTTGCTTCAGCCAATCAGGTGCCGCATATTAAGCAGGTCGGATATAGTCGTAATTCATTTAGCTTGATGATTGGTCGAAAATATCCCGACCTTGTGTCAAACTAAAAATAGCCAGGCACATGAAGGGTAAACTTCAGAACGCGAAATCGAGCGACCGTGTAGGATGGTACGCTATGTTATTGCGGTAGTTAATTTATAATGCATCGTAATGGGGCACGCTTACAAACTTATTCAATATGCGATTCACAAATTTTTTGTTGTTCATTGGATTGATCGATGCTGATTTTCTTTACCGAGTTCTGTAAACAAAGTTCCTGTGTGGGTTATATGGTTTACATCACTTCCTTTTTCGTATTTTGCATACGACCGAGGTTTGGTCAAGGGACTTCGTTTGAACAAATAGGTTCTTTTTCTAATCAATTTCGAATGGAGGTAGGGGTAATTACACTTCAAAAACATCCCAGACACTATCATAAAAAGTTAACGTGTGTACAAGTAGCTGTGACATACCGCAACGAGTCCTGTATTCCATCATGCGATGAAATATATCGTGCTTAGATTTGCATAAATAAACTATCGACAGGTTGTGTGGATTTCGAGATTTATCGATACCGCGATACTGTATATGATAAAGAATAAATGCGAACACTTGATTGTAAGCATTGTTTTTATTTAGTGGACTCTGAATATTTAGTTATTCTACAACAGACTTATCAAGCTGATAATAATTCAATCTCTTGTGGGTTATATTAAGAATTGCAAAACACATTTTGCCAGAACCGTTATTAGTGTAACTGACATGTTTAAACATTTATAGCACCTGAAACATGTTGACTATATTTATGAAGGAAATGCTGGATCCTGAACATACTCTTACTGATATCCCAATTATGTTATGACTCATTGATCATTGTCACAGTTACGACATGAACACACTACTCAGTACAGTAGCATCAGAACAGCCATTGAACTTGACTGAATCCATAAACTTCAAATCAAAGATCTAGATATAAACGTTCACAAATGTCTGCCCCAATGACCCCTTACCAATGGCTGATAACCCGTGTACTGCCTTTTCATTTACGAAGTTAGATATTAACATGGATAATTTTGTGTTAAAATATTCATTAATATCAAATGTCCCTTTTAAGAAATTGTTTGTCCCTTGATGTAAACCTCTTGGTCATGACAGCAGGATGTGCCCTGATGTGAACCTTTCTCTCACTTTGCCTGTTCGTTGATATTTTGCAGTTGCAAAAAGATTTCTGATTTTTCACAACCACTGTGTTCTGTTGTGGGTTCCTGTGTGGGTTATATGGTTTACATCACTTCCTGTTTCGTATTTTGCATACGACCGAGGTTTGGTCAAGGGACTTCGTTTGAACAAATAGGTTCTTTTTCTAATCAATTTCGAATGGAGGTAGGGGTAATTACACTTCAAAAACATCCCAGACACTATCATAAAAAGTTAACGTGTGTACAAGTAGCTGTGACATACCGCAATGAGTCCTGTATTCCATCATGCGATGAAATATATCGTGCTTAGATTTGCATAAATAAACTATCGACAGGTTGTGTGGATTTCGAGATTTATCGATACCGCGATACTGTATATGATAAAGAATAAATGCGAACACTTGATTGTAAGCATTGTTTTTATTTAGTGGACTCTGAATATTTAGTTATTCTACAACAGACTTATCAAGCTGATAATAATTCAATCTCTTGTGGGTTATATTAAGAATTGCAAAACACATTTTGCCAGAACCGTTATTAGTGTAACTGACATGTTTAAACATTTATAGCACCTGAAACATGTTGACTATATTTATGAAGGAAATGCTGGATCCTGAACATACTCTTACTGATATCCCAATTATGTTATGACTCATTGATCATTGTCACAGTTACGACATGAACACACTACTCAGTACAGTAGCATCAGAACAGCCATTGAACTTGACTGAATCCATAAACTTCAAATCAAAGATCTAGATATAAACGTTCACAAATGTCTGCCCCAATGACCCCTTACCAATGGCTGATAACCCGTGTACTGCCTTTTCATTTACGAAGTTAGATATTAACATGGATAATTTTGTGTTAAAATATTCATTAATATCAAATGTCCCTTTTAAGAAATTGTTTGTCCCTTGATGTAAACCTCTTGGTCATGACAGCAGGATGTGCCCTGATGTGAACCTTTCTCTCACTTTGCCTGTTCGTTGATATTTTGCAGTTGCAAAAAGATTTCTGATTTTTCACAACCACTGTGTTCTGTTGTTAATGTTATGTCATAATGCTATAGATTGGACCCCTCCATTTTCGTTTGGGACCCCTTATTTTATGATGAAGGGGTCCAAGTGACCCCAAGAAAATTTAAGCCAGAGCAGACACTGAGTAGTGTTACATAAACAAAACATGCCTTTGAGTGAATAATATTAAAGATTCTGTTCCTGTTTTCCAGATTCCTCCAAACTTGGCAGTGTAGACTCCTCGTCAGACCGAGGGCAGGACAAGGTAGGTGGTCAACCCTTCAGTGCTGTGTTTTACTCTACCCTCTCTTCTTCTGTCATGTACCACATGTATTGGGTATCTTTTTCTCCTTAGGTAGTTTTGTTAGAAATGAGCGTCATGGGGATTCCGGGTTACAAGAGGTTCCAAGCTCTTATTCTGGTCTCAGGAAGCAACTTAATGGATCGGGTGGTCAGACTTGGTGATTTGGTTGATTGTGTGATCGTACCCCAATGACATATCAATCAATGGATTATCTGATCCAGATTTCATTATTTACAGGCCGCTGTCATATAGCTGCAATATTGCTGAGTGCTGTATTAAAGGACAAACAAATTAAATATTATTAATGAAATGAAATACATTTTAGATGAATTTCTTGATGGTTTCATGTTTGTTAATTGCAAAATACGATTTTATTTGCACTTTCTTAAATATTACTTTTTCACTTCACACTAATCCTGTTTCAAACCTTTGTAAAGATTGTATATTAAATTTCATTTCGATAACTACTAGTAAATTGGTAGAATAATAGGATTTCATTTGCTGCCTGAATTTTACAGTAGTTTCTTGATGTGCATACTTTTTGAATTTGCTCCAATGAAGTGATTAATGTAGTGATTATAGTTAGCTGCATATTAGAAACAATATACATGTCTTGTTTCATTATTCATACAAGTGGATGTATAGTTCCTTTTTATGAAACCTTAGCAATTCGATTTTCATGATTGCGAAGTTATGTAAATATTGACAAAATGTCAACCCTCATAAAACACACCTTACATTAAACTAATCATTGTTATGCATATATCATGTATGTTACAAGTATGCAATCTTCTGGCTTGTAGATAGCAGGTGCTCTATGTACACCTATTGATTGTGTAGCCCATTAGCCAGGTTTGTTCAGCAGGGTGGGGGTACATAGCAAGCCAGGTATTCAGGAGAGAGAGAGAGGAGAGAGAGAGAGAGAGACTTTGAATTATGTTATTTAATCACTTGTTGAGTCCAATAATAATAATCATAATAATTGCTATCATCAGGGTTAATGTCATGTGACATTGTAGAAGTTTGCCAATCTGTTAATGACTTGTTTTATTGATCATACAGACCTGTCCTTTGAATTCTTGGACTTTAAAAGATGGTTTTTATTAACTGAAATGTCCTTTTGAAAATGTGATAAAAATATGCAATTCAAATAACTATCAAAAGAAAGGGAATGTATCCTAGACATGAAGTGTAGTTTGGATGAATTCCATTTTATCTGAGGCCATTTGAGCAGGAATGCTATTTGAATGTTCTTGGTGAACTTTACATACATAGGTTTAACATTGGTTTTAGTATCCTAAATATGTAGTGAGGAAAGCCAGTTAACGTCACAGTGTGAGTCTGTTAGCTGCCTCTTTGTCGTAATAGTCTCTCACAGTTTATGCTTGTTATAAAACTGTTGACGAAAGGAGCGAACAGTTTGGCCTGCAGTCATGTATTTGTGCAAAGTCTGTAAGCAATGACTAAGGGGGGAAAAAGAGTCTGTGTGTTTTAGGTTGGGGAAATGCAGGAGATATTCAGTGAGTCATGTAAAAGGTTTGATTAGAAATTTGTTAAGCAGATTCCTCTGATCTCTTGTCCATGAAATATGACTGATTGTTTAGGTTGACAAGTAGGATGTAGTATCTTTGACACATTCTTAGGTGGTGCTGGTTTGTAGGTGAAATTATTCATTATATACAGTCAATGTGGCTAGATTCTAAAAATAGACACGATTGTTAGTGACAGTGTTATAAAATGCCTTTGCCAGATTCTGAGGGTTGACAATTTTGTCCATATAATTTTGTAGCGCTCAGTATCTTTCTACTAACATGTTCATCACACTAACAACCTCTATATCCAGGTTTCTTATATACAGTCAACACATCTGCAACTACGTTCAGGTTGCACTGACCTCAACACTACCCACAATACCCCCCTCTCCTCCGCCGCACCCACAGCTAACATCAAGTCACGTGCCCGAGCACTGGTGGAACGGGTAGCGCAGTCTAACAAACCACATATCTCTACGGTATACCATTCTTCTTTGAATTTGTTGCCCATTTCTCATTCAATTGTTTTAAATTTTTCTTGTTTATGTGATTAAAAAAATCATGACATAAACATGGATATTCATCTCACCTGACTTAAAGTCATGGTGACCTTATGTTGTGGTGTGTTGTCCATTGTCCATCCTGTTAATCGTCTGTCATTAAATTTTGCATTATGGACATCTCCTCTGAAACTACAAGGACTATGGAGCTGAAACTTTGTATGAAAGATTCAGTGTTGTCTTTAATTTTAAAAATGGTTGCCATGGTGTCTGTGATGAAAATGTCATTTTGGGGCTGTAACTTGGCCATTCATGCATGTATCATGAACTTTAATATTGAACAAGTATATTCATAATATGTCTCCTCCGAATGAAACTACAAGGCCTATGGAGCTGAGACTGTAGGAATGATTCCAGGTATGGTATTGCTAAACATGCTCGCAGAAATCTGATCTAATTTCAACATGGCTGCCATGTTTTGGAACCTGTAACTGGCCATGCTTTTTCAAAATGAATTGAAATTTGGCATAGGTGTAGTTAGTAATGGGGCCTAAGTGTATGTTACACGTTTTACAATATTATAAATTTTTACCTTGATTTCACTTATTTAGGATTATAGTTGCTGAATATATCAAAGAGAAAATTCTATTATTGGCAATAAAAATAACAGTAGGTACAAAATTGGAAAACCATATCACACACCAGTCTTTAACCATGTTTATTGAATCAGCTCCGTACACTGGGGATCAAAATGGCAAAATGTGGGTTTTCACATATGGTTGCTTTGGAAATTAAGTTTTTCTTCGAAAAGAAATGGTTAAAGAAACATTGGAAGAGGCCGTCGCAAATATGGTTGAAGTATCATCAAATTATAACTTCATCAGGTGAGCTACAGAGCCTTGTGGCTCTCTTTTTAAAGTGTATATCTGTAAGGATTACTAAGAGACATTACATTTGATAATTTATAAGAATGATAATTAAATATAAGATGAAGGCAGATAATAGAGTGTTGTTGGCAATATGTTTTCATTATTATGTACAGGACTCAAATAAAGGATGGCCACGACCATGAAGTGTGTTTTGAGTTGAAAATGAAAACTGATGCTAGCGGAAATGAGAAATATAAGACATATTTTACTTTGCCAAATCACCTGTTTCTTTATATATCCTTTTCATTAAGTATTGATGTGGTAACTTCAGGTACAAGATACTTCTCCCTAAGTCAGCTGTGCAATTTTCTTTTATAGAATGTAGAATTGTTTGAAAATGATTATGAATATAATGTTAAAGCATGAGCTATGTTCTCTCTTATCCCTCTCTCTGCACTATATATCTAGTAATTAGACAGGCAGTTGTAGTTTTAGTGATGATGCTAAAGTGGAGGTTTTATATCATCCACCTAGCTTGCATGTCAAGTTAGTTTGAGCTTGTACTTTCATTGGAAGCACAGACTTATTCAAATAAAATGAGGATATTGTATTGTGAAATAGTGTGTACTGAAATTCATATTTGGATTAAATGCTTAATATTATAGGTGTTTTGAAATAAATATTGAGTTAAAACGTTGATGAAATTGAATGTTTTTTAAATAGGGTCCAAGTTCTATCTCAATCAGCCATATTGGAAGAGAAGAGGGAAAGAAGAGGGTGAATGCGACAACATCTGAAGATTCCAGGACACATCTTACACGTCCATTGTCTCAGAAGAAGGATATATCTTCTCTGATTCAGAGGTTTTCAAATTCTGATGCATCCAGTTCAGAAAAGTCTGACACAGAGACAAATATTTCTCGTAGACGTGTGTTACCTATTCGTAGGCAGGATCCTGTCGTGATAAGCAGCAGCCCTAGTGATGAGTCTAATACTGAGAGTTCGAGACGTACACCTGAACGTACGCATAGCCTACGCATACATGGCTCAACTGAGACAACGGACAGTAAAGTTCAAAGAACAAGTAGTTTCAAATCAGATTTCATGCGTAGAAGGTTTAGTGGTGATACAGATAAACCAACCCCAGAATTGGCTGATGTTCTTGGGAAACGTAGCAATATTGTTGAAAAACAGGAAGAGGAAGACCGAGTGAGGAGTGCTGCAAAGGCAACATCAAAGTATGAGAAGGCAGACACCTGGAAGGCGGCAGAGGTGGAGGAGGTGATTGCTGACAATGAAGTAGCTGCTGTCTTAAAAGCAAGACGAAAGCAGACTGATTCACTATCTGACAATGAAACAAAAGAGCAGGATAATAAATCATGTACATCATCAAACATATCTGAGACAAAAACCAGTTTAAAAACTCTTGATTCCACCCTAGCACTATTAAACAGGGTCACAGAGGAGTTGGACAGTCCTGCAGCTCTGTCATCAGACTCAGAAATACTTGCACCTGTTCTGCTAGTTTCTCAACGCAAAAGGTCAAGCAAGGAGTCAATTTCAGAGGCAGAACAGCTGATCAAGAGTGTTGAATCCTCCATCACATCGCGTACATCAGTTCCCATATCAGGCACCTCTGTCACAAAGGGAGATAACTCTAAGGAGCAAAATGTCAGTGGACTAACCACTAGCGATTATACAACAGAGTGCAAGACAAGGGGTTGTTCTGACAATGTGGGAGATACTGGAGATGTTTCCGTCACACACACCTCCCACAGACATGCAGCCAAGCGGGACAGTGAGAAGGCTGACTTTGCCATGCCTCTGGATGAGAAATGGGTGACAGATAGGAAGAGAAAAGATAAACATGATCCAAATTCCATCTCACCTTCTAAATCATACCACGATGATACAGATACTGGGAAAACAAATGGAGACATTATTGGAAAAACAGAGGGGTTAACGGAAGATACAGAAATTATGGACAGTGCCAAGAAACCGGGTAAAGAACTCGACCCCATCACCAGCAGAAGTGTGGATTCTTTGAGGACTGACACGTGGCATGAGACATCCTCCGACAGGTATTCTTCATCCAATCTACGCAGGGCAGAATCTCTTAAGGATACCTCTATCAAGAGGACAGATTCACTGGAACGCAGGAAAGGTATTTTGAAGCGCACTCCATCCCTACCAAAACAGCCAACTCGACCAATTGTAGACCCCGAACTGGCAGAAAGGTTACGGAGACAGCGAGAGAAGGAGAATGACTTGTCAGATGAAGATGAGCATAAACCTAACCGCATGTCTATCATTGAGGATATACAGGAAATTGAATGGTGAGCGATTATGCCTTTATGTATTTTTTGCAATTTTTGTGTTAAATATCACGGAATATCATGGAACTGAAAGTTAGCATTTACCTTCCTGTGAGACACTCAGTGTTATGACCACTTGCATAAGGGAAGGTGTGGTATTATTTACAACAAAATTGTTTTCTCAAGAAAAAGAAATATATGTCAATTCCTTGTGATGAGACAGTGATAGAATTTGGCACCAGTCTTCTAGTCCTAGCTAGACTGCCCAATAGTTCAGATATCACAAGGACTTTTGCCATTTTTAAGGGTTTTGCTATATATTATCATTATAAGGACGGTTAACTAAAAATGTTAGTTTCTATCGCTGTGAGATTGTATTTTAGAAAATAAAACTGCCGAAATTATTGCGAGGTAGAAAATAACAAACAAGTCCCTTTATAAAATATGGTTTCAACAACAATAACAACCAGATGTGTGTAAACTGAGTGTAGTGGGTAGTAACCTGTTGGTCTGAAACACCTTAGCTTACTCACATCTTGTATGGACATTTGTACACTGGGTAGGAAGTCTGTTACAGAGTGTTATTGAGTATGACATAAAGTAATAACATCTGACATTAGCCTCCCAAATACCTGGCTTTGGGGAATTGACATGGTCTGTGGTTACAGTACATGCTGCAGTACATGGTCGTCACAACTTGCCCAACTATAAATAATGTACTGTAGAATGTGGAAACATGATGCCAGCACCATCGAGTGCAGCACACCATGTGCGTGTCCTGTGGTGCATGCTGCCACAGTGTATCAACTGGCTGTAGTGCCAGGGGTGGGGAGGGATCAATGGACGTAGGAAGCTGAGCAGGGCTGGGAGCAGGCTCCTGATGAGGCACCAGGCAGGGGGAGAGAGAAGTACATGTCTAACACTGTAAGGGGGTGCAGGTGTGTGCATGTACATGTGTGTCCTTATTCACCCAATTGTCTGTGAACACTCTTATTAACATGTATTCAAAATGTTTTTTCAGGTTTCTTGTGTGCTCAGATATTGTTTTGTACATTTAGAAGTTTTAAGAAATATTTTTAAAACCTGCTAAGTAGCTTTGGTTATCTTACTCTGAGACATTTCATAACCAGATTGGTGGCTATATCCTTGTATACTTTAGTTATGATGACAGTAGCTGCCTGGAAGAGATATCGCTCCTGTTTTGAACTAGCTCTCCCAGTGAGAGTGGAGAGAGATGGGGTTGAGTAGCCATGCTTGAGTTATTGTCTAATCACTTCCATACCTCCGACTTACAGCAGTGCTGGTAGGGCAGAGTTTATGTGTGTGCAAGGTGGAGATGGGATTCCACATATATCATGTAAGATATCTTCACTTCAGTTTGTTTGAAGTCTTTGGGAAACACAATAAACACACTATATTATATGGAGTGGGTAACAGTGTTGCATTGCGTACAAATGACTCGTTAGCAATTGAACCTTGTATGACATGGTAAGTATATTCAACTCTTTTGGATTCAAAGTGTCATTTTGAATGTTTTGATAGATTGTAGCCAAAACCCTTTAAATATTTTTAGGGTAAGATTGTTATGCCTTATGATGCTGTTTCAAATATATGGTGAGATAGTATTATGTACAGCAGACTTTATTCTAATAAAGTGAAATCTATATATGTAGTGCAAACTTATTTAAAATATATACTTTGCCACTTTATGTGTCAGGAAAAAACTTTCTATTCAGTAGATTGGAAAGGAGATAGGGTCCCTGCAATAATTTCTGCTTTGTGATTGTTCTTGGCATGTCTGTGTCTGGATAGTACCTGGGAGGGGTGGCGTGTCTGTGTCAAGATAGTACTTGGAGGGGGGGGGGGGCGTGTTTGTGTCAAGATAGTACCTGGAGGGGGTGGCGTGTCTGTGTCAAGATAGTACCTGGAGGGAGTGGCGTGTTTGTGTCAAGATAGTACCTGGAAGGGGTGGCGTGTTTGTGTCAAGATAGTACTTGGAGGGGGTGGCGTGTTTGTGTCAAGATAGTACCTGGAGGGGGTGGTGTGTCTGTGTCAAGATAGTACCTGGAGGGGGTGGCGTGTCTGTGTCAAGATAGTACTTGGAGGGGGTGGTGTGTCTGTGTCAAGATTGTTCTTTGAGGGGGTGGCATGTCTGTGTCTGGATAGTACCTGGAAGGGGTGGCGTGTCTGTGTCAAGATAGTACTTGGAGGGGGTGGTGTGTTTGTGTCAAGATAGTACCTGGAGGGGGTGGTGTGTTTGTGTCAAGATAGTACCTGGAGGGGGTGGTGTGTCTGTGTAAAGATAGTACCTGGAGGGGGTGGCGTGTTTGTGTCAAGATAGTACTTTGAGGGGGTGGCATGTCTGTGTCAAGATAGTACTTGGAAGGGGTGGCGTGTTTGTGGCAAGATAGTACTTAGAGGGGGTGGTGTGGCTGTGTCAAGATAGTACTTGGAGGGGGTGGCCGGCCACTAGGAAGGACTGTGACCTGTCTGTATCTAGAGAGTACTTGGGGTGTGTGACCTGTCTGTATCTAGAGAGTACTTGGAGGGGGTAGCTGGCCACCAGGAAGGACTGTGACCCGTCTGTATCTAGATAATACTTGGAGGGGTAGTGTGTCTGTGTCAAGAGAGTGCTTGGATGGGGTGGCCGGCCACCAGGAAGGACTGTGACCTGTCTGTATCTAGATAGTACTTGGAGCGGTAGTGTGTCTGTGGCAAGATAGTGTGTGTAGGGGTAGTGTGTCTGTGTCAAGATAGTACTTCGAGGGTGTGGCCTGCCACCAGGAAGGACTGTGACCTGTCTGTATCTAGATAGTACTTGGAGCGGTAGTGTGTCTGTGGCAAGATAGTACTTGGAGGGGTAGTGTGTCTGTGGCAAGATAGTACTTGGAGGGGTAGTGTGTCTGTGTCAAGAGAGTGCTTGGATGGGGTGGCCGGCCACCAGGAAGGACTGTGACCTGTCTGTATCTAGATAATACTTGGAGGGGTAGTGTGTCTGTGTCAAGAGAGTACTTGGAGGAGCTGGCCGGCCACCAGGAAGGACTGTGACCTGTCTGTATCTAGATAATTCTTGGAGGGGTAGTGTGTCTATGTCAAGAGAGTACTTGGAGGGGGTGGCCGGCCACCAGGAAGGACTGTGACCTGTCTGTATCTCTAGATAGTCCTTGGAAGGTGTGGCCTGTCTTGATGTAGAGAGTACTTGGAGGGGGTGGCCGGCCACAGGAAGGACTGTGAACTGTCTATATCTACATAATACTTGGAGGGTGTGACCTGTCTGTATCTAGATAATACTTGGAGGGTGCAACCTGTCTGTATCTAGAAAGTACTTGGAGGGTGTGACCTGTCTGTATCTACAGAGTACGTGGAGGGGGTGGCCGGCCACCAGGAAGAACTGTGACCTGTCTGTATCTAGATAATACTTGGAGGGGTAGTGTGTCTGTGTCAAGAGAGTACGTGGAGGGGGTGGCCGGCCACCAGGAAGGACTGTGACCTGTCTGTATCTAGATAATACTTGGAGGGGTAGTGTGTCTGTGTCAAGAGAGTGCTTGGATGGGGTGGCCGGCCACCAGGAAGGACTGTGACCTGTCTATATCTAGAGAGTACTTGGAGGGGTAGTGAGTCTGTGTCAAGATAGTACTTGGAGGGTGAGGCCTGACACCAGGAAGGACTGTGACCTGTCTGTATCTAGATAGTACTTGGAGCGGTAGTGTGTCTGTGGCAAGATAGTACTTGGAGGGGTAGTGTCTCTGTGGCAAGATAGTACTTGGAGGGGTAGTGTGTCTGTGTCAAGATAGTACTTGGAGGGGGTGGCTGGCCACCAGGAAGGACTGTGACCCGTCTGTATCTAGATAATACTTGAGAGGGGTAGTGTGTCTGTGTCAAAATAGTACTTGGAGGGGGTGGTTGGCCACCAGGAAGGACTGTGACCTGTCTGTATCTAGATAGTACTTGGAGGGTGTGGCCTGTCTGTATGTAGAGAGTACTTGGAGGGGGTGGCCGGCCACCAGGAAGGACTGTGACCTGTCTGTATCTAGATAATACTTGGAAGGGTAGGTGTGTCTGTGTCTAGAGAGTACCTCAGTGGTTGACCTGAGCTGTAACCTGGTTAGGATTGGTTTTGATGGCCTATGCAACTGGTTGGCTTGGTCCAGGCCCAAGTCATGGCAGCTATGGCATAGCTTTTAAGTTGCTGACTAAGGCATCGCCTTGAAAATATTAATTGTGTTGAGTATACCCAAATCAGTCCTGCAGGTATCCATGAATATATCTGTAATCCACATATTCATTAATAAGGCAACTTTTCTTTGTATGCCTTAATGAGCTCAGAGTGCCTTATGATTTTCCTTGTATTTAAGTGGGGGTTCAGACTTGGTGTGAGTCAACGAAATTAGACATTGAGTGTCCAAGTTCAATTTAAATTATCAAGTGTATTCCCATTGATTTTAAATAGAATGGAAAGCTCTGCTATTCATATTGACCTACCACAGTATTCAATAAATGACTTAAAAATTGTCTTCTGAGACTCCACACTCAAATGGTTAAAACAAACAACTCGGAACAAAAAGCCCCAGTGTTCATATGTATTCTTCACAGAAATGTGTGAAGAGTTGACAGACGTTGTTTGGCAGAATATTATTCTGACAAATATCGCCTTTGTCGGAGCTATGCTGAAAGCTCTGTAAATGCACAAATGCATGCATGTATATTTACAGTGTGCAGATAGACACCCAGCAAAGGCAAAACGTTCTGTGATACTAACGGTGCATTCAAATAGTCTTCAGTAATCTTTCTTTGTTGTTCAGCTGTATTGCAATGAAGCCCAGTTTGGTCATGGAGTTCCGTAAAGAATTTAAAACTATTTAGAAAACACTGATGTTATATATGTAGAAAAAACACATACTTTCTACTGTGTTGCCTTGACTGGGTGGAAAGTTTGCCTTGACAGTGAAACACATGGATGTTTGCACAAAAAGAACATACCTTTCAAATGTAACACTTTGTTCAATGTTAATATTGGCCTGGAAAAGATGCCTCAAAATGTAATGGCTAATGTTATTTCATGGTCGACCGGATTCAATTCTTTCTGTTTTGGATGTTTAAAATATTCTCTTTTCTATTGCAAGTTCTTAAAATAAAATTATTTTCATTTTGGAAATAGATATCATACCAAATGTACAAAAACACGGACAAGCACAAAAGAACAGAAAATAAAACAAAACAACAATTATTGTTTATGAAAACACCATTTAGGATCAGGATTTGATCATCACTTATATAATCACATTATCATTATGTGATATTGTTTTCAAACATTATTTCATGTATATTTTAGGTAATGAACCAATAATGCATCTTCCATGGTTGTCAAATTCAGTTACCATGGGCTGTTAGGCTTCACACTGATATGTGTTGGTCCAGATGAGATTTGAAGTACTCACAAGATAAGGCAATATAGTCCTAATCTCTAGAATTTGTCTGCCACCTCAGCTAGTCAGTATTTATCTCTGAGGGTCAGCTAACGAGTTGTGGATCGAGATGGTCTAAGGGGAGATAATTCTGATAGGATGGATGATTTGGTGGTAGAGTGCATGCTTATGATTATGTTGGACAGATGGCAGATGAAAACATTCTGAATACTTTCATAAAGAAATTTGAATAATAGACATAAGACCTGTTGTGTAGACTGCTTTATGTGTACAAATGCATTTAATTATTTATATGTAGAGTAGACCGCCTCCGTGGTCTAGTGGTAGAACGTCCGCCCGGAGAGCTGAAGGTCCGGAGTTCGATCCCCGGCCGCGTCATACCAAAAGAGGTTAAAAGATGGTACTTGTTGTTACCCTGTCTGGCGCTCGACATTAAGGGGCTAAAACAAGGACTGGTCAGCTCGGAGTCAGTATACTGTGTCTGAGTGGGGTATTCATGTTAAACTGCAGCATGGTATGTCAGTGAGCTAGCACTATAAATCGGCATCAGTCTGGTCTAGTACAAGCAGACACACACACACACACACACACACACACACACACACGTGCATGCACGTCGCTATATAAGTGCAATAATCTTGGACGCGACGTTAAACCCCATTTCACCTCACCTCAAGTAGAGTAATTTTGTATATGTACATTAAGTATTTGTTGATAATTTAGAACCTTGGAAGACTAGGCAATAACATTACCTTTAAAAACAGACAAAATCTGTTTTGAATAAGGGATATGGTTCTATGGATATACAACTCCTTTATTACAATGGCTGCAATGTTTTGGTGTACATACTAACACTGTTATCAAGCAAGTGATCACTTGCAATGAAGAAATTGTATTTCCATAGAATTATATCCCTTGTTCATTATACAAACTTCTAAATTTCACTTAAAGAAGACAACAGTTTTGGCTACACAGATTAGGATTTGTATTTAGCCTGGGAGTAGAAATAACTTTGTTGGCTACGTCATTAAGGCAATAGAATTTGGGTTCTCTGAGCACAGTTTCACAGAAAAGACATTATGCACATTGCAGGAGAGAGAAGAAGGCTGAGGGTTCGGATGGTGACAGCGACGGGGATGGAGGAGTGAAGTTGTCTGTCTTCGAGAGGATTTCCAAAATGGAGAATAAACTGGAAGAGGAGAAGTTCGGCTCAGCAAGGTCAAGGTCAGGCTTCACAACACCAAAGTCTGCACAGAAAACATGGTAAGACTTGCAAACAAGCTTTATCTATAGTAATGACCTACATTTACGTTTCCATCATTAACTGAGATAAAAATCAATAGCCTCTCGCTACCTGTGTTTTTTGCAATGCTTATCAACAATCAAAGGCCTTGATCGATTGTTAAAATTCGCAAAACGATGATAATGATGATAATGCTATAAATGTAAAACAATTGTAATGTAATATTTTGTTTAGAAAATCTTCATAGTAAGCAATTAATTATTACCAAGTGTTAAATGAAATCTGAGTTGATTATTGAAACAGTGTTATGTAGGTAATGTGATTTGATTTCTAGGATGGAGAAATCCCGATCTGAGTCCAGCTTCGATTCTGGATCCAGTCATCGTCTAGTGTCCGGAGAACAGCTGATGGAGAAACTCAATGTACTAGCAGAACAGACGGATGTCCTAGACCTTGCTGCCAATAAACCAGTCAGTGAGAGACGACAACAATTCCAGCGCCGTAACCGTGACGACTGGAGGACAAGAACACAACCAATCACCATTGAGGAAATTCATGCAGCAGACAAGTTAGTGAATGCTCTGAAGTTACCCTTTTGTTCTAGGTTCAAGTTTGAAATATTCAGATATGGTGAAGTAACACTTCATGTATTTCTAACAATTTTTATCTGTGAAGTGGGTATGAAAGATTGAAAAGATTGATACTTCAACTTTCGCTTTTCTTGGAGATGCAGCTGAAATCAGCTCTTTATGACAACTATTTTGTTTTGCTTTCTTAATGTTGGTGATGGGAGACTGCTTTTAATGTCATTCCTTTCTTTATCTGTTTCTTTTGAATTTTATGTTGTTGCTAGACTTTCTTTCCTTTCTCAAATACTGAAAATGGTCAAAATGACAATAGATGTTGCACACTAAACCAATGATAGAATTTAGAGTAGAATATCAGCAATTTATCAGGGAAATAATTATTGAGATGAACTTCCTGCAGTGGGATTTAATTTGGAACTGCATAGGTCAAACTAGACACATTCAAAGGTGTTCCCTAAGTGCGATCTTATGGTTTTGAAAGACATAAGTATTATGAAAATTTGCAGAACAGTGTAGAGACTGGTGCCAGGGAATTAAAGGTGCCGAAATTGGGAAGTTAGAATTACCTAGTTTCTTGTTGTGACACAAGGGGACTTAATACTGGTGAAGTCTGTGAGAAAAGCTAGAGATGGCAAATTGTCAGATTTGGTTTGATTTCAAATTTTCACAAAAGAATGCAAAACTCCGAAGACATTTGCCAAAGATTGGAGATGAAATATGTATACAGGGATGCAACACAATCTGAAACAAGGACTAGCCTGAATAGTGATGACATATACAGATACCCCTAAACAGTCGGAAATTCTACTTGCCCGTGGGATACCTTTAACATTAAGCAAACTGATTTGGGTAAGTGCCAATTTACATTCATGGTATAGGCAACATCCAAATTGCAGTTCACATATGATTTATGCAGGGCGTCCATGTTAGGGACATGATAGCTTGATGTTCAGGATGCGAATCATGTCTCCTTTCAGTTTGGAGACAGTGAGTGCCTTCCGTTCACTAATTCGTAAAAAGACTACCATCAATGCATACAATCAGATGCGAGACCTTAATAAAAAAATTAGTCCTGTTGGGAAGAAATGTGAATTTCCTCAGCACATATCACCTGAGAAAAGCAAGCGTCGGACTCGAAGCCAAAGGCACAAAACTACACCAGTCACAGCAGCAGAACTCAGTGCCATTCCAGAAGGAGAGACAATGGAGGGGGATAGGTCAAAGATGGGCCATGGAAATCGGGACTCCACTACAGACTCGGGAATCTTGTCTGATGCTGACAGTCTCCTTGGAAGAAACTCCTCGGAGAATTTACGTAGTTTGACACTGGAGATGGATCTGAATGAAGATGATCCAGCTAGAGGGAGTGTTTCTGCCAAAATGTCCATGTTTAAAGCAATCGAAGAAAGGTCAAAAGCAGAAAAAGAAAAAGCAAAATCTGCAAGTGGTGCCAAACGATATATTGACCGGAAAAAACGAGAACGGTCGCGAACACAACCTGTAACAGAAGATGAAGTCAAAACGGCAGCTGAGATCTCAGACCCCGCGGAGGAGAAGAAGCCAGAGGTGAACATTCCAAGACCTCGAGTAATCTCCAGGGCGAAGTCAGTTGAACCAGAGGAAAGCTGCGTTGCAGAAGAGGATGAGCTTGTTGGGTAAGAGACTTAGCCGAAACCCTGCATCATCCTCACCTGAGTCTCAGCCTCAGAATTAACCCTATCACTGCAGAATGCCATTGTTTCAAGCAGCTGGTGAAAGGGTTAATTTTGTAAATGCCTGTTAGCAGTCCCAATGTTTGTCAGCACCTTACAGGGGGGTTATGTCCCCTTTTACCTTCCCTGACGTTCACATTGTCCTCCTGGTGTGGTGACTAACTGTCCATAGTTTTAACTCCGTGTGACACTTCCTGTTGTGTGATACTGCACTTAACTCCTGTACACATCATCCAGTACTAACACCAAGGCATTCAGGAACCATGTACTAACACTGTAGGCATCCTCACAATACACTGGCTCGGAATGCCTCTAGTTTAACGTAGAAACAAACTGTAGTTAGATGCCTTTAGTTGGTGTAGATGAAAGCAAACATGTTGATGTCATAAATAGAGCTCATTAACTATCTTCTCAATACACTGGCTCTGGATGCCTTTGAGTTAAACATAGAAACAAAATTTGTAGATAGATGCCATTAGTAGGTGTAGATGAAAGCAAACATGTTGATGTCATAAATAGAGCTCATTAACTATCTTCTCAATACACTGGCTCTGGATGCCTTTGAGTTAAACATAGAAACAAAATTTGTAGATAGATGCCATTAGTAGGTGTAGATGAAAGCAAACATGTTGATGTCATAAATAGAGCTCATTAACTATCTTCTCAATACACTGGCTCTGGATGCCTTTGAGTTAAACATAGAAACAAAATTAGTAGATAGATGCCATTAGTAGGTGTAGATGAAAGCAAACATGTTGATGTCATAAATAGAGCTCAGAAAGTTAAGTTGGAAGAGTCAGCCACAATACACTTTCAATGGATTCTCTGACAGTTGGCTGAAAGGAATTTGAATGGATGTTGTCATTTGCTGATTTGGGCAACATTCCTCTTTACAAGACATAGATGCTATGAAGAATAGGTGTGTTCACAGGAAGAAACGAGTGAACAATATCCTGTAGTTTCCTTTTGAAGCAACTTTAATCAAGTAAAGAGAAACTGTTGTGTGTTGCTACACATCATTGTTACATAATAACTAGGTCAGTATTTATTCAGAAATTGCATGCCTAGCATTTCATGTTTGTGTACCTTTTCTTTCTTTTTCTTATTTATTCATGCATGGTTTTGATTGGCCATTGTGGTTGCTTGTTCTCAACTTCGTTGATTTCATTGAAATATGCAGTGCAACCTTTGTGAAGACACTAAATTGACATCAGTAGATACATGAATGTTTGCTGTATGCATCAATATCTGTAATTTTTATTGCCATCTCCATGTCACATGGTATTCAACAATATTAGTATTTGTGACCTTAGTGCTGTCAGGGTTACTTCCCTTTACATGTGTTGGCAAGAGTGTTGCAGTACAGAAACTGTTGTTGTATCATGATTACATTCTGCATCAGTTATAGAACAAAGGTTAAATATGGCCCTTGGAAGTTGAGATTAAAAGCATCAAGTCTAGTTCAATTAAGCATGTAAGGGCATTTTCCTGTAGTAGTCGTGCACTCTGTCAACTGTGGCAGGCTTGCATGTGGAAACCAACCAACACTAAACTGGGCCACATCCATACACAGTCAACAGTGGGAGGCTGATAACACTTAGCCTCTCACCACCTCACTCATACTTGGATACATTGTTTAGATTTCATGGTTTACAGACTATTGCTAACCAATTTAATTGGATTGGTAAAAGAAATACTTATATACATTCCTTAACTTGTTTGGGTCGGTTTTGTCGGGAAAAAGTAAATGCTAATACTGTTTAAAGTGAAGAATGTTTGGTATTTTTACTTTAGCATGTAGATGCATTTACTTTGGAGAAGGTTTGTTCTGTTCATATGTGGTATGCTGTTCTGAAGACTACATAATTATTATGTATAAGGTAAATTGTTTCTTTTTCGAATCTATCAAAGTTGAAGTAGTCAGGCAAATATAAATAGATTCAAACTATCTTCATTTGTTTGTAATTATTGTAGCTTTTGGCTCTGGTCCGTCAAATCCATAAACCGTAAAAAGTAAAAAGTGAAAAAGTGTTGTCCTACACTTATCCTCTACTAATAACATCAATCTTACTTGATGTACTGACCTTCGCTGTGATAATTTTTCAAGGAAATACGAAATGAGATTACCCTCTGTATAAAAGTTCTTTTTGTAATCTTACTATGTTCTAACACATCTTTTAGTTTAAAGAGGAAGGTAATTGATGTTTTATCTGTATTGAAAAATGGTTTCTGTGTAAGCATAATTGAAGTGTGTCTGCAATGCAAACTAGAATTCACTTTTCTGCATGAGTGAAGCTGTTCTATAACCCCCCATGATGCTAATTGTCAAAGACTCCATGGGTCTAGTCATATAGACAAGGCAGTGTGGTGGCCTGAATATTCCAGGCCGGTCATTGAGTGAGACAGTGGTATGGTTGAGTGACCTGATAGTAAAACATGCCAGTATAGATTGAGGGGTAAGCTTCTGATATATGCCAAGTGGAAGGACATCGAGGTCCTACACACAATCAACACACAACTCATGCAAAGTTAATAAAATATGTAGAACGTGAAAACGTAAATATCCAAATATTGTATCCATAGTATTTATTAGTGTAGCTTAGTTGCTGCTTACAGTGTTTGTATCTATAGTTTTGTGTAACAGTTGAAAAATGAAATTGTCTTTTCCTTGCACCGAAAGAGCATAACTTGGAGCTTGGCAGATAAGCATTTGAAAAGTATAATCCATTGATGTCCTTATGAAGTGCTTGTGTTTTGTGAAGTGGTAAAAACAGTGAAGGGAATAACACGGGAAATAACTCTACCAACCAATTCAGCATTTCCTGGGTTTCCTGTCAATTTTTAACATGCATGGAATAAGTTCGAATAAGTATGAAATGATATTTGTTTGATGATTGTTAGTAATCGTAATTTAGGGGTACTTCAAAATTGCAGTGTTGACCATAAAAAGTGCTTGAAAAGTCCTTTTATTTTGTCTTTAATCTGTATGAACCCTGCGTGAGCAGTTTGTCTTGTTAATAGCTATGATTATTGACAGTATAAGGTATCTCTAGGACATTGTAATCTACAGATGGTGATCAAGTGTTATCAATGTGTATGGAACTTCCATTTTGTAATTCTGGAGAGATATTATGAAACCTGTTGTATGCACTGACCATGAAAGGTGACAGAGAGAGAGGGTCACCCTGTAGAGAGCCTCTATTCAGTCCCATTCTGTCTATCAGGCTCAGCTTGGCTGAAAAAGTGAAACTCTTCACCCAGAAGAAAGAAGAAAAATCTCCAGCTCGTACAGATGCTCCTGTCCCTCGGAGACGTGCTCGCAAAAACATCTCAAGATACAGCACTCAGGTAAGAAGTTTAATCGTGTGTATTGCTAGTATTGAAAATCTATTATTAAAATCTATCATTAATTGTGCTATTTGTCTCAATCGAAAAGAGTCTATGTACTTTATGCACTTTCGATGTTGCAATAACAGTATGTAAAATAAATAGATGGTGCTGACATGATCATATGGTCTGCTAGCTGTTGATTACTCAGAGGCTGGAAAATAGACCTGTCAGAGTAAAGATGGAGAATGAAGTCCCAACACATCTACAAAGATCTAGACCTGTAATTGTGGATAACTGTTTCTACATTGCTTGTGTACTCAGGGTGTCTTTGGGAACCACATTTAAGTAAACTATCTTACATGTGTTTATTCAATTTTTTGGTGAAAAGAAAAACAAAACAAGCTATTTCGTGCAATAGATTAAAGTACCGTATTCGACGTAATAAGCGCCCAGGGCACTCTCAAAATTAGAAATAGGGGGCTCTTATTGGAATATTATTTTGGTGGAAAAAAGAAGAGTTGAAAGACAAATTTCGTGGTTTATGATTACACACTGAAATGTTTATATGCTACAGATACATTTTTCCAGAATTTAATTGCCCATAATTAAGAATGCATATAACACACGAGGGCGTATTATACACGAATAAATACGTCTTGTGTACATTGATCAATCGGAAGGAGTGCTAATTGAGATTGTTCACTAGGCAATACTATCAGCAAATATCGCCGTGGGCGCTTATTAGAGCGGGGCGCTTATTACGTCGAATACGGTATTTGTATGAGCAGCAAATACTAATCTCTGTATAATTTGTCAAATGTACATCCCAAATAGGTGATACGAACCCAGATGTGTGTTCTGTCCCTTGTCAGATATCTACATCAGGAGGAACATATTTTGTTAAGAAGTTGGCTATCTGGGGCACCATCTACAAATATATATCTGAGTGTCTGCCTAATCTTAGAGGTGTACAGTTTTACCAGATATCGAAGCTGTCCCCTAGTGTTGACAAACAGCTGTTAGATAATGTCACCCTAGGTAGGGGTGTGGTCACTGGTCAGGGCTTCACACACTTGCAATGTTGTGGTGGAAGATTACATTCTGTGTTAGTGGAGGCATGCAGGCTGGGATCCCAGGTCGTGGGGGTGTTGTCATAGCTCACCACAGGACTGGTAACAACACCCATATCATATCATGGAAGTCAGCTTACCATACTCTCAACAGGTGTGTCATATGTTTAAGGATATATTTTGTAAAAGGAAGGTGATTTGAAATTAAAAATGTTAGATTCATTCAGCTTTCTTGGTGCTTGAAGGTTTTCTAATATCTATATTTCTGTAGTTTTTTGTTTGATTGGTAAAAGTAATTAGAATGTGTTTTGAGGCAGTTATACAGAAAGCTAGTAGTAGTAGTAGTAGTAGTAGTAGTAGCAGTAGCAGTAGCAGTAGTAGCAGTAGTAGTAGTAGTAGTAGTAGTAGTAGTAGTAGTAGTAGTGTTATGGATTACTGACACTGACATAGTTATGATATCAAGCGAGGAAACAGATAATACTCTACCTCAAGTCTCGTATCTATTACCTCCACACTTGATATAGAGAAAAAGCACAATGGGTCTACTTCCTGGTGTGCCCGTGTTGCTGATGGCAGCTGCTATACGGATATTTATACAGTCCTTCAGGGATAGCAGGTGACATATATTTTGCGTTTCATTTATGTCTTCAAGACACCTCAATATCTATTTTTATGCAGTTTTGTGAACTGTTGTGTCATATGGGAAGTTGTATCCATGTGGTTGTGATCAGTTGCAGTCAGTCTGTGTGTATTGGCTGTAGGCCTAGATCACTGCCTCTATGACTGGTCTGGCAAACACACATGACACAATTTGTTGACTGTTTGCTGCCTTCTAGTGTTGCTAAACAACTGAAGATGTGTATATAATTTGGAGAAATGGTAGTTTGTAATTAGCAGCCTTCTTCATTTGATTAAGACTTGTGTGTATGTGTCACCAGATAAGGAAGGTACTGTGATCAGGACAAGTTAATTATATGTAGGAATGTAACAATGTGGGCCTCAATGACATCTCACCAGGGGCATGGTGGAGGGTAACTTTATATGGGGGTTTAAAATTGAGTAAATATTGTATGAATATCCAAGCCATATTGAAATGCGGAAGGTTCATTCAAGCAGCTGAAATTACTCTAAGATCAAGGTACATGGTGTGTAATGTAGATCACTTGAGGATAGAAGTTTGCCACAGAGGTTGATAACCTGTGATATGATCATGTAGCAGGCACTACCTTTCAATTAATTGATAACACATTGTTTTAAATGATAGTTATACTGCATTTATTAAAACACCTGTGCGTGATAGTATCAGTAAAACACCTCTGTCAGCATCAGTAAAACACCCCTGTATGACAGCATCAGTAAAATACCCCTGAATGACAGCATCAGTAAAACACCCCTGTATGACAGCATCAGTAAAACACCCCCATACGACAGCATCAGTAAAACACTACTGTATGACAGTATCAGTAAAACACCCCTGTATGACATCAGTAAACACTACTGTATGACAGCATCAGTAAACTACCCCTGTATGACAGCATCAGTAAACCCACCCCTGTATGACATCAGTAAACCATCCCTGTATGACAGCATCAGTAAACCACCCCTGTGGGACAGCATCAGTAAACACCCCTGTATGACATCAGTAAACCATCCCTGTATGACATCAGTAAACCATCCCTGTATGACATCAGTAAACCATCCCTGTGGGACAGCATCAGTAAACACCCCTGTATGACATCAGTAAAACACCTCTGTGGGACAGCATCAGTAAACACCCCTGTATGACATCCGTAAACACCACTGTATGACAGCATCGGTAAAGCACCCCTGTATGACATCTACCACCTTCTAACATGTTCATAAAAGTCTTCATTAGGCATCAGGAAGTTGTTTTATGTTTTCTAGCCTGTGACAATAGAAGAGGTAGAGAAGGCTGCATCACTGAACCGTGTGTCCCCACTGGCAGCAAGCCTGATCAAGCCTCCAGATCCCGAAATCTTGAAGAGTCTTCCCATCAGTGCACAGAGGGAGCTGATGGCACAGCATGCCGAGGCCTGTCTCTCACAGCCAAACTCCAGGCCAGGCTCAAGGCCATCATCCAAGCCAGGCTCTAGGAGAGGGTCTTCACATGATCTCGAAGATGGTATGTTTATTGAGACGTAGTTCTCAGGAAATGAACAACATTTTGGTTCTTAAAAATGTACTGCAAGCAAACAATATTGATCAGATACACAATCCATAATGGGTGGATCACCAATCAAACCAAGAAATTGGATACGCTTCAGTATTAATAAATGAATGATATGACTCTCTTCAACTAACTTACCATGAAGGATGAAGTCCCGACAGTATGTACAGGTAGCCTTCAAATTCTTCTCATTCTGACCATAACCTCAGTATAATGCCAGCATCACCTTATATCTAGATTTCCCTTTTAATTGTGTCAAATTAGAGTGGCATTTCATTCATAGTGGATCCAACTCACAATATCAATACATAACAGTATCATCGACGAATCAGTTTTGAAGTGAACATTGTTGGAAATCGTCCAATATCTGTAGTACATTTGGATGGGAGTTGATTTGTGAAATATGAATAATATAAACATCAAAAGGTTGAAACAAACAGCATTGAAAAATGTATTTGAAGTATGATTTTATCAAGTTTGGAAAGTGTGGTGTTGTATATTTAAAGCTGCCAGCGGTTGTTTGTAGCTTATGACTATATTATAAAGAGAAGAGATCCATGTTGGCCCTCTGACAAACACATGTAAAGCCCCCTCCTCTCTGTAGAGATGGCAGGTGGTGTTGGAGCTCACACATGCAGGGATTCAAATAGCATCCGTCACTCAGAGGTCTTCTCTTGAGCTGCCTTAAGTGTTAGGCTACTGTTAGTTTACAATCAATACATATTAGACCTTTGTATTACATATTAAATAGAATTGATAAAAATTGAGAATGGCTTTCATCATTCATGTCTTTTTTTATGAAAAAAATGTTGTAAAACAAGCACATGAACAGAAAAAGTAACTTTGGGAAATATTTAAACTTAAACATGGTAGAATTTAGCAACACTGAACGGTTGTGGATGTGCTTTGTCACCCTGTACAGGGTAAGGCAAGTACTGGCACTATACCTCTGCCAGCACCCAAAAGTGCATTATAAAAGGAAACTATTCCTAGTGACATGGCATGTCCTCCTTCCTGACTAGCCTGAAGTAAGGTTGTGTGATGTGTTGACCCAGACCAGCCCGATCACATCTGTCTGTGACAGGCTGTATCGCTGTACACAACAAGTTCCAGCACTGGTTACTTTTCGGTCAATATGAAAGGCATTATACTTGTAATTAGCATATTAGGCCATGGGCTACTTAGGTCCACCGTGCACCCCCCCACCTCCCAACAAAACCTACTTTTTCTGAAGCCTTAGTATGTCCTGAACATGAAATCATATGTTAACATTGAAAATATAGGGATGCACTTCCTGTTTTCATCATATTTGTGGAGGTACCCTCAAAGTCGCGATTTTGCAATCCCACCGAGCGTCATTTTTGTACTTCAACAAAAAGGTCAATAAATGTCTTTACAATTGTCCAATCTCTATGTGTAATATATCAAAATAAAGCTGAAGTTATTCCGGTTACAATTATGTTATTTTCATTTAAATATAATTAGAAGTATAGTGGCTATTAAACTTTTACTTAGTAGAACACACATATGCAAATTTGCTCCACGCAGATCGCTCAAACTTTCAATAATTTTCTATTATATGGAAAAATAAATACGAGGTAATCACAAAAACAAATACAGGCTATAATCTGTTAGCTGCATTGTACGTGTCTTCGCCACCAGGATATGTCAGCTGTTTAATGATGATCTGTGGACTTCTACGCTGGGTTTCTTGTTTGTCCCGATGCAATCATGTATTGATAAATATGCATTTTCCAGATATGACTTAAAATCTGAAATCAGAGATACATGTATATATGTTGACATGAACACTAGACTGGTAAATTTGTCCGTTGTCATTTTATATTATGTTATATTTAAATGAAAATAACATAATTGTAACCGAAATAACTTCAGCTTTGTTTTGATATATTACACATAGAGATTGGACAATTGTAAAGACATTTATTGACCTTTTTGTTGAAGTACAAAAATGACGCTCGACGCGGATTGCAAAATCGCGATTTTGAGGGTACCTCCACAAATATGATGAAAACAGGAAGTGCATCCCTATATTTTCAATGTTAACATATGAATTCATGTTCAGGACATACTAAGGCTTCAGAAAAAGTAGGTTTTGTTGGGAGGTGGGGGGGTGCACGGTGGACCTAAGTAGCCCATGGCCTATATCCTTCTATCAAAATAATTCCATTAAGGATTATTCCCTTAATTCTTTCATCCACTGTTATGATAAGGAATAAATATGAAAATGATTTTTTTTCACTTTTGCATAGATTTGATTAAGACCAAACTGAGAAGAATGTGTCAGCTTGATTAAATTGTTCGTTTTGCACCCAAAAGGGATTCTTATTAAAAGAAACATTTATTTGTAAACGGTCCTCACCCGTTGATCCATTAGTTACATAAAGTACTCCTGTATGTCTTGTGAAGTACTCCTGTATGTCTTGCAGAGACCAGTGAGAACCTCCAGGGCGTGCGGAGCATCCTGAAGCAGGAGAGTGGACAGCTCAGTCCCGAGGCTGATGTCAAGGGCATACTTAAATCAGAGAAGAATAAGAAAGAAACTGAGCCCCGAGGTATCTTGAAACGGGGAGAGATAAGTGATACTAATTCGAAACAATGTGACAGTGAAACTCACAGTATCTTAAAACAGTCAGAGCTGGTGTCCAAAACAAATGAGGACTCAGAGCCAAGATCTAGCTTGAAGCAAACTGAATCGGAGTCAGTAGCAGATGCCATTGATCCAAATCGAGGGATTTTGAGAGCTTCAGATTCTAGATTGGAATGTGAGCCAAAGGGTATACTCAAAGGTGAATTATCTGATGGCCTCGATGTGAAGGGAGTGTTGAAAAAAGAGCTGAAGGGAGATAAATCTGTAACGGAACCAAGAGGGATTTTGAAAAAAGAAGGTTCCTTTGAAATACGAAAAAGTGAGCCAGAGAAAAGTGTGTTGAAAAGTTTGGACTCCAAAGATGACCGAGATCACAACCTGAGGAGTATTTTGAAGAAAGAGCCATCCAAAGAGAATGTTGGAGTGGAAACAGGTAGCAATGATGGGACACAAGCCCACCTTGGAGAAGATGATGATCAGGAGGTCAGTGAAGCAGTGGAAGACCACATCAACAGAAGACGGCCTCGTCAAGGGGACAGGTATGATCATATTCATCAGCTCTTTGTAGCATATAACTATAATTTTCTAAAAACGTTAATATGATCAATTTTTTAATTATTCAAGGGGCATTGAGATAAAACAGATTTATGGATAAAATTATATCCTTGTATGTTTCCTGAAAAATGTTTCTAATCAAATTTGAGTATTATCAGAGAGCTGTTGTGTTTGTCTACTTTGGCACACTGTTGAGTAATGACTTGGCTGAATCAGAAAGTAATGAAGTAACCAGCATCTTCAACAGGAAACACATTGCACCATCAACTTGTGTATTTCCTCTGTTTTGCTGCTGTTCTAACTTTGATTCACTTTTGTATAACTGAGTGCTACATTAGGCATTTCCTTTTTCAGTGTATCCTTATGATAAGGACAAAACAGCACAGATACGCTGTAGCTATCTTCATAGTTAGTCCTGTTTATCAGATTAGATTTATACTTTATCAGCTGTTGGCTAAAATGTCACATGAGTAACTTGGACTGCATTTGTATGACTAGATGCTCAGCAACGTCACATTGAATGGATGTATGGATCTCCTGTGTTATTTTTCACTTTAAGGAATCTTAACATCTCATGTGGATAGCTGTTGAAGTGCATTGTCTGTTATGGACTGTATCAAAATGACATCAACATTTGTATATTTGAGGGTGTGCATTTAGTGACATGTGAAGTTCTCTTGTGAACTGTGAAACCCTGTGATGTAAACTGAAAATTTCACGTGACCCTTTTGTTAAGCATGTCCATCTAGTATGTCTGACCCAGCTGTCAGCCGATCTTGAGGGAGGTTTGTTGCATAATGGAAACATGACAGTCTTGACTGGTCAACCCTGTGTGACTGCATGATGGAGGTCAGCAAGGGTGCTCTCTCCTTCCCTTCTTATTAACACACTGTGCGGAAGTCCCTGGTTAAGAGGTTGGATCATATCTGGGCCATAAATGCTGAGTTCCTCCTTTGGTTATTGACGTGTTAGAGGCTTGGCGTGTTATTTACATGTAGTAAATGTGTAAATGTTGTCTTAAACAAAGATGTGCACCAGGCATTATGGATGTATTCCCTCAGGGAAACTTAACCTACTCCGACAAAGGTAAGTTAGGTGTATTATTCAGATCAATGTTTATTATTGGTAATTACTTGTGTACACAAAGGCATAGAATCAATATACTGATATACTATAGATATAAAATTTAAAGAAAAGAGATAAAATAGTCTCTTACATTTCAATGCTTTGACCAATTTTGTCTCATAGTAATAACACATGGATGAAATGTGATTGAAAAGCTCTGATTTTGATAGAAAAAAAATTGATCTCTTTCTCTTTAAAAATGACAGATTCCAAATATTTTTCTCTCCTCAACCTTATTAGTTACGGTGTATTAGAAATTAATTTTAAGTTTTAAATCATTGAGAATTTATTGATTCACAGTCATAGTTGATGTTTGTAGTTCTGAAAACAATTAACTGTAAATATTTGATTAAGGAAATTCTGATTAAAATTTGTAGCAGGGAGAAATGTAATGCTAAATTACAGAGCAAGTACTGGGCTTCCACCACATTGTTGACAAAGGAAGTACAGTTGGGCTGAATGTAGTTAGCGTTCCAATGCTAATGACCTGGCCTAAAGGAAATCTACACCAGTGTAATTGACTTACACATGTTAATTGCTCTCTATCGTGTCATCAACATCTTTGCTCTACAGATACATGTCAGCAGATAGCATAGTTTTGATGAACAGGAAATAAGGGTTTTCTGGAACATCACTGACAAGCGGTCAAGTTGTTATGATGGTTTGTCCTGAAAGTATAGGAAATAGGATGCCTTTTCAGCTGTGCCTACAGATGTCGTCAGCATCATAAGAATATCTAAAGAAACCAGAAAATTTATTAATAAGTTCGTGCAAATGCAACAGAAGCCATTTTTAGAGAAAAAGTGAAAATATTACCATGGTTCTCATGCAGTGGCTAAATCAGGAAAACTCAGCCTGGCAAGATAATATTTTATTCTGCGAGATGTCCCAGACTGGTAGCCCATTGTTTCACACTCACACTGGAAGCTGCTGATTATCACCAACTTTAGTCCATGAGTCAATGTGTTTTCCCTTCAGATTGTTGGACTGTTATGCCAAGATGACAATGAACTAATTGACCAATTTTGATGTTATTTGCACAGAATTTATTGAAGAATGGCTGCATGCCACACCTATTCACGCAACTGTTCATTGATAACCCTACACCCTACTGCTTTCACACCAGATGATAATCTATTTTGTAGTTACTGAAAATATGTAGTCACTGGTTGAGGTGTTAACTGGAGGATTCAAGATTATTTCCTGCTGGAGTTGTGCATAACTGCATGTCAGTGATGGCATTGTTTCATGCCAGACACAGTGCATGCTTGGAGGATGGCTGGTGTGTGTAGGGGATCGTCACACGATATATCACTCATTTCTCTTACTTGTATGTGTGTCAGGGTATGGTTTGTTCGTTGTTTAACACCACACTCAGCAATATTCCAACTATGAGACAGTGGTCTGTAAATAGTGTTGGACCAGACTATCCCGTGATCGACATGAGCATCAATCCATGCAATTAGGATACAATGACATGCAATCAACAATGTCACCGAGATTGACCACCTGATCCATTTAATTGCCTCTTACAACAAACATCCTTTTCTGAGAACATATATTCTATAGCACGAAATTCTGTAGTAGTCTTGAAATTATGCTGTATTGTATGTTGTCACACTTTCGCTGATCATATTGCAACTGACTCTGTCCCCCTTGAAAGGTGGGAGTCGTTCACAGCTACTTTTTATGACAGAATGTTGTCCGAAACAACTTTAACTTTAAACCTACCACCATTTGTTTGAACAAAATGTGCTCAACAAAATGGAAATGCTTGAAGTGTTATCTATTTTTCACTAGGACCTTTGTGCATGCATTTGTTCACTAACTAAATGCAATATTATAAGCATGATGTAGTTTCACCATAGCTGCCAGGCCTGTAATGCACTAGAATATATCTTCTAAAAGGTCAGTCAAATATTCAGCTTCCATGCAAGTCAGGACTAGATTTTGCAGTGCAGTATGGACATGACAAGAATACCCACAGTAGCTTGGCACACAAAAGGAAAGTTGTTATTCGAATACCAATTATTTCATTATTTTCCAAATGTTTGCTGACAGGAAACTCTTTCAGTAATTGGTTTGTATTCTTTTTCTCTTTGGTTTAATATTTTTTTCAGCTGGCAGAATGACCATTTCAAAGCCTTGGAAGTATTACCATAGTGGATTGCTGCCCCTCTGACTGAGTTGATAAACTAGTGTGGTTAAAGGGGTTTATGCCTTTATCAATGATTTACTCCAAGGTTAAGAATTGATTTTGTTCATGCCAGTCCCACATATGTGAACTACTATTGACAGGTGAATACAAAATTATTGCGGTGAGCCTACAAAGACTTTGAATAGAGCTTTGTCATTATGCAAAACCTCATCCTTGCCATACATTGTGCTCATGTTTAGAACATTGACAACTCAAAGGTTAGGTGGAGTAAGATGTGTATTTCTGCAATGGAGGCCCAAATGTTCATGACTTGGTATTAGCGTTGAGGTTTTTATTAAGATGTACAAAAAGAAGTGAGTTTATTATCACCTAATGTATTATATGTTTTCAATTGTTTTGAGACAAGTAAGCCGTCAAAATCTACTTGTCTGAAATGAAAGGCTACATGGTTGTAATTCATGACAAATTTAACATTTTTATTCATGCTGCTGTAAAACCACAACATGTATCTGCCCTTTGTATTTTTTTATGTTTGTTTACTGTTACATCATCAATGTTCACTATTGATAAGCTAGTATTATCTTGTCAGCGATGTTTTGCCATTGGGTCATAAATTATTATGATGTATCAATAATTCCAGCACCCATACAAGTTGAATATGTCTGTGATTGAGACATAATGTCTATCAAAATACCATTGAAATATGTTATATATTTCTAGTTTTGTACTTAGATGTGCCAATTGGAGTAATCAGACTTTGTATTTCTACATCAGAGATAACTGATAGTTTTCATGGATAAGTAGGATATTTCTATGTCAAGAATTAGTGTTATGAGGTATGTGTACACTTGACTTGTGTTGTTGTGTGGACTTGTGCAGAGACATGGAAGTAAATTATATATAAATAGTCAAATTCAATAGTACTGAAAAGTGTATAACTGGGTTGATTCATTTTAAAGTTAGTGATGGGAATTTTGGTCACTTTAACCAATGTTTAAATATGTCATGAAGTGGAGGGACACAAAGATTAAATGTGCAGATTTGGGGAATCAAATCCAGGGACTTGTTTGTGATGAGAGAATGCTGGTCCATGTTGTGTGTTGGAACTGATAGTACTGCCATTTATAATGCCACTCTTGTCATGGCTTGTCATGGATAGGGAACAACTGTGCAGGTATCACATGAAGGACATGACAGATGCAGTCTGTCTGGATTGTGTCAGGAATATGTCCAAATGTAGATTTATGTTTAAACTTTGTCATCACCCTTCAACATTATGCCCATGGTGGAAGTCTCACACATCAACTGTTAACTTGGAAGTTTTATAGGGTTCACCATGTGGCCAGTTTTACAGTAATGGCTCACTTTCAAATCTTCCATGTGCCATATAGTCGACAGAACTGTTGATAGGGAAAAGTCTAATTGTTCATCAGTGTTCATTTCAGTGAAATATGACAACATTGTGGAGTGTTCAGACTACTTTTCCTCATCTGTTTCCTGAGCTTAAATGCCCAGTCTATGCTTTGTAGATAGTATATCTAGATATACAGTGCATCACATGTACCAGTGTGTATCACTGGATATAAAGTATATCACATGTACCAGTGTGCATCAAAGGATATACAATATATCACATGTATCTTTGTGTGTCACTGGATATAAGGTATATCACATGTACCAGTGTGTATCACTGGATGTACA